CTCATCGACAGACCTGATGAGTACCAAGTGAACTCTCTGTTGTATACGTTAGGAGATACAGCGGATGATATTTTGAGTGTTTTGCCATTGTCTGATGATGATAAAAGGAAATATGACAAGGTGAAGGCGGCTTTTGAAGCCCATTGTGTAGGAAAGCACAACATAATTTACGAAAGAGCAAAATTCAACATGAGACATCAGGAGGAGGGAGAAAGTGTAGAATCCTTCATAACCTCAGTACACACCCTGGCTGAGCACTGCCAGTTTGGTGCACTCCGCGACGAACTAATAAGAGACAGGATAGTTGTAGGGATCTTGGACGGAAAGTTATCTGAGCGCTTACAACTAGATCCAAATTTAGACCTGGCCAAAGCGATCACATGCGCACGTCAAAGTGAGACTGTGAAGAAACAGCAGTCAGTGCTGCATGGCAAAAACACAGAACACAACATAGACAGTATCAGGTACAAAGGAAAGGGGTTGAAACCTCAAGGAGCCAAGGAAAAATTTCCCAGAACAGAGAAGCCACCTCAGTACAAGCGGGACAGCCCCAGTGCAGAGAGAGAGTGCAGGTGGTGTGGCCGAACACAGCGCCACCAATGGAAGGACTGTCCAGCGAGGGACGTAATCTGCAGGAAATGTGGTAAAAAAGGCCACTACGCTGCAGTTTGCCGGTCCTCGACAGCAGTCCACACTGTCACTCAGCAGAGGTGGCAGGGAGACAGTGAGGAGGAGCATGAGTTCTTGGGGTCAGTGACAGTCAGTACATGCTCGTTGACAGAGTGGACAGAAACACTGTCTTTTAATGGAGAACCTGTCACGTTCAAACTGGACACTGGCGCGGCTGTGACTGCCATTCCCACTGAGGTGTTCAAACCCGGGCGTGACGGACCTCTTACACGACCCAGAAAAGTCTTGTATGGCCCTGGAAACAACGTCCTGGAGGTCCAAGGCTGCTTTCAGGGCACACTGTCAGCAAAAGGTCACGGTGCAACACAGGAGGTGTTTGTGGTAACAGGACTTTCTAAACCCTTACTTGGCTTACCTGCAATTGAAGCTTTGCACCTGATACACAGACTTGAGGAAGTGAGGGATGCTCAAGAGGACTTTAAGGCTTCATACCCGACGGTGTTCCATGGATTGGGGTGTCTCAGGGAGAACTACACTATTGAGCTGGAGAGGAACGCCACTCCTTATGCCCTCTCTACGCCACGGCGAGTTCCAATCCCCCTACGAGACGCGGTCCGTGAGGAGCTTGACCGCATGGAAGCGATGGGAGTCGTCTCAAAAGTCACACAGCCTACGGACTGGTGTGCAGGAATGGTCGTCGTCCCGAAGACGAACGGGAAGATAAGGATCTGTGTTGACCTCACTCACCTCAATACAGGGGTGAAACGAGAGCGGCACATCCTACCATCTGTCGATCAGACTCTGGCGCAACTGTCTGGAGCAAAGGTATTCTCAAAGCTTGATGCACGATCGGGGTTCTGGCAAATACCTCTGGCTAGGGAGTCAGCCCTGCTCACAACCTTCATAACTCCCTATGGCAGGTACTGCTTTAACAGGCTCCCTTTCGGAATCTCGTCAGCTCCCGAACATTTCCAGCGCCGGATGTCCCAGATGTTGGAGTCACAGGATGGTGTGCTCTGCCACGCTGATGACATTCTAGTTTTTGGCAGAAACAAAGAAGAGCACAACGCACGCTTACGTCAAGTACTACAAAAATT